GAAAATCAGGTACGGTTCCTCGCTCTCGCGTTGTCTGTCGACTGGCGCGGTGCTTTCTTGTAGCACCGAATATTTTGTGATGGCTGGAGCAGGAGGTTTACCAAAGGGGAGCGCCGAGGACGTCGCTCAAAAGAAGAGAGGAGCAGTGTAATGCTTTGTCTATGCGACTATCTGACGTTTGGCGGTTACTTTAGAGTTTGTCTGGCCCCTGTACACGTGAGCTGGCCTTCGGGTCACGCTCATGCCACATTTCTCCTATAGTTTTTGGAATACATGTATTCTATCTCACTTATGCCTTCCACAACCCCATTTGGAGCCTCGGGACGCTACACTTGGTCTCTTCGGCCACTTCAGTTAGACCTGGATTTATATTCGGTCTGACAATCTGAATCTTGACAGTATACATCTGCTGACCATCCATTTCTTCCATTTCCTAATGGTGGAACTCTGGTCTAACACAGGGGTTTAACAGGGCGGGCAGGATCAGACGCAGTCTCGTGCATATCGAGAATTACAGTTTATTCCAAAAGTTTAAAGGATAATGTAGCAGAAGCTGTAATACTTTATTTATTTGACCACCTGCCGTTAGGCGATCACTTTAGGATTTGCCTGGTCGTGTGCTGTTATTCGGGTCATACCCAGGACCATTTGTCCCGTTGTCTTCAGAATACAAATATCCAAATGCACTTTCTGAATTCTTATACAGGCCAGGAGGTCTCGATACAATACAGGAGCATTTCCAACGCGAGAATTTTCCACATAGTTCACATATGTCGAATAAGTTGTTGATATTGACCTGTGGAAACCGGGGAGAATGGGAAACCAAACGCAGAAATCATTCCCTACTACATTGTTGTAAAGATTTCAGACATATTTATACCTTAGATATAAATTTATCTTCTCCACACGGTAGGCATATGCCTCAAAAATTGAAAAGCTGAATAGAGGTCGTTACGAAAGAAGTTGGGTTCGCTTTCTATTGCTATTGGTTTAGCCTCTTAGTACTTTCTGTCTAAGTAGAGGACAATGTTGAATAAAGCTGAATATCTTCATTTTAGGGATAGTACTAATTTTTAATATCCCTTTGCCATGCTAGTGTTTTAATTTACCGCGCTTAACCCTACAATTGGTCCAGTTGTTAGCAGATTTTTAATTCTGTGGGTCTTGTGTTTCTAAACTTGTTCTATTATCTTCTCCTTTGCGGTCTTTTGGCAATGTCATTAGCTAGGCACTCTTTTGAGATGAATACGTAAACCTGTGTTTAAGCCAGTTGTATTCTTTTCTTGACTTAGCTCGTTTTCTCTACCATGAGTCTGGACTCTAGACCGCCTGATTTTCTCTCCATGACACGCGGCCAACTCCAAATCGTATTGGAAAAACAAATTTCGCTGAAAAACTGGTTTGTTATCTAGTAGTATTTATCCGTTGTCTTGAGATTTTGATTATTATTTTTATTATTATACTTTTTGCTAGTGTTTCGTCGAAACTGCCGGATGCTGGCAAGAAGCTCGAGGAATCAATCGCCCGTGTGAAATCAATCCTTGAGTCTCAAGTTTATCAGCTCCCTTTGCCAATACAATCAACACGAACCCGTAATTGCAATCTTAGTTGTGCAGCAGCACCCTCCCCCTTGAACGACATGGGGAGTAAAAGGGAGGTTGACGATAATGAAGACGTTGACGATCTTATCAGTGGCCTTGTCTCCCTCAATCTCAGTCCTGCAAAGAATGATGACGCAGAGTGTGAAATAGATGAAGACCTGTCGAAACTCCCAGAAAGTCCTCTTACCTCTGAGGAGCTCAGTGACCTTCAACGTCTGTGCAATCTGCCTCGTTTTAAAAAAGAAAACGCCTCATACCATGCCTTTCTCTTCCAGTTGAAAACGTCTAGTTCTGGTCTCGTCCGTCTTACAGTTATTGACTGTCGGTAGGTCAGTCATCTTCGGCTTCTAAATATTTTCTTCTGATCTCCCTTTAATCCAGAAATTCGGAGAATCACTTCATTAGACATGGAGTGATTCCCACGTGGGCAATTGAAGACGACCCTGTACCACATCATGTGTCAGTGCCATGCGACACAGTCACTACCTCACCTGGCCTGGCGGTGGCTGAGATGTGGCGATTCATTCGACAGGGGTCGGCAGAAGACGAGTTGGTACTTGTTGCCGATTGCGTGGGGAGTTTAACTCGATTGCGACGGCTCTTTTGTTGTCCTAGTGTTCGTCACAATACAGGAGCAAGGAATGCACTCCCGAGGAATATCCGCTTTATTGTGGACAGTGGTGCTATTTCTGGGGGGTAAATCTGTGCTATTTTACAATTCAGTGTCAGAATAGGAAAATCACCTGAATTCTACTTATACTGAACTCACATTGTAGTCACCATCTTTGAGCTTTGGTTATTCTGTAGCTGGCACTTTCAGTATTAGAACTGTATCAGCAGAGATTAAACACTTCCTGTGGATGAAGTCATGCATTCCATCTAATCCCTTTTAGAAAGCTCGAAGTAATGAGATTCTTTTTTGACACTGTTGTTCAGGAAGATATATGGGTCGGAGGAGCAGCTGGCAGAGAGCAGTATAAGCGCCAGCCTGGTGGCGCGCACTTTGCACTATGCGAAGTTGGATGCAGCGACCTTGGCTAAGCTGCGACCCAAAACCGTTGCGTGGATTGAGGTGGGTCATTCACTCCTCTCATTCATTTTTAAATCTTCCTTGCCAAAAGAATAGGATTGATGCGTTGCGGACTCGTATTTATTCTTCCAATTCGTCTATGTTGTTGTTTCACTTTGGATCCGCTTTTTGTCTGCTGATGCCCCGATATGGTTTACATCTAATTTTGTTTCCGTGGTATCGCCAATGCCTATTTTTTTGCAATCAATCCCTAGAGCCGCCACCTATTTACCATACCTCATCCGTCTTACACCCGACTCGTTTATCCTCTCGCCTTCATAGCACCCATATTCGTTTTGCAAACATTCGTCACAAAGGAGGAAGCAAAGAATGTCCGTGCTCAAAGTGAAGCAGTCCGTAGGCTGATTTAAATTTTTTTCCTACTTTTAGGCGCCTCTAAATTTGCACGCCCTTTATGCTATCGCCGAAATGCCACGTGGTCCCGTGGTCTGTCATCCACCCTACGTAGCATCTCCCATTCCCTCCAACAGTAGCCAACAGGCTATGCCAGAATCCCGTCCTATGCTCAACTCCATGAACAAGTCCCTCTTAATCCGATTGGCTGCTACCGGTTTCAACCCCTCCTCCTTGGCTTTACTCGCCGGGAAAGCGCAGTGGCGCGGCTTTGCAGGTCTCCTTGCAGCCTCTCACGTATCTCAGTGTCCAGACGATCTTGCCAACCTCTATTGCCTTTGCAAGCGTGTGTACCGGTGAGCTGATTCAACATTTCAATGTGCAATTAATTGATGGAATGAAATATCTGCGATTTTATTACCCTTCAAAGTGGTCTGGCGTTAAACACCGACTTGTATCGTGAAGACGCTTCAAAGCCGTCATATTCCCCTCTCTGGAGTTCCCCATTAAGACAGTTGAAGACACTTTCGATGGAAGAGTCCTTGAAGGTCATGACGCGAGTTCGCGACGAGATAAAGGTTTGTTTGTCTCTGTTTTCCATTCTTAACTCGTTGGCCCTACAGACTCCTAAATATTTTTTTTGTGGATTTCACAGAAAGGTACAATGGTGGAGGCCAGGTCAGGTTTACCGCCTGCATCAGCGCTACTATTGAAGTAAGTTCTCTCTCATATGACTATTAACTTGGTTCAATCGCGATGTTACTTTCACCCGGACTTAATCGACTTGCAGATATCGTGAACAGCAGGCAGAAGAGTCAGATGATACACTATGTGCAGACAGCGATGATGATTGAACTTTTATCAAAAGATATCACTACACAAACCTTCCCTACTAGAGATCCCATTGTTTTATTTTTTTGAAAATGAGATGCTAATCTGATTCAGTAAGTTGTGGTTCAACTTGGCAGATACCTAGATGTGCTAAATTTGTTGAGGTAAAAAATTCCAAGTGCGGCCTCACTGCTGACGCGTAACAACAACAGAGGAAACCCGTGTGGTAGCAAGTACGCGCCATTGGGATTTGCTGCAGCTGCTTAGTACAACTCGTTCTGAGCAGATTCTCACTTCAGATAAGAAGGACGCCGCTGTTAGTTTGCCAAGCGTCTTGATTACTTGAGTAGCATGACAAAATGAGGGAGGAGGAGTGATATCCTCAGTTAGTAGAATTTATTACGAATCTGAGAGGAAATAAATCAACAATCTGTGACACCTAGTCGTTCTTGGCCGCCTGTAGAACACGCAAAACATAGATGAAAAGGTTGAGAATATCCAAGTAGAGGGTAATGGATGCAGCAATGTATTCCTCCGCAGAAAAGCGCCGCATTATCATTTGCGTGTCAAAGATCAACAAGCACGCGAAAAGAAAGGCACCGCAGATCGATAAACCAAGGTGAATTGTGGAGGAAGCAAAGAACATCTGAAAAATGCATTGATCAGATCACAGAAGATTGGACCACAGATGTGGAAAAATGCCTTACATTCGAGATTCCACCAACAAGGAGAGCCATTAGTAGAGCGCCAAGACAGGCCGACCAAGGGGAGAAGTCACGCTTTGTTTGTAGAGTATAGAGAGTTAGACCAACGGTGAGAAACGCAGTAATCAGGAATGCTTGCAAAATAATTGCCAAGTCAAAATGAACAACTAGAGAAAGCAAGGATTACAAAAAGGCGATACTTTACCGACTAATCCCACGAAAAATGACTCAACGAAAGTCTAAAAGGATCGTTAATCGAATCGAAACATACGAAACTAAATAGCAAAATAAAATTTATTGGACTCTCGTATCGTTTGTAAAACATTGATATCAATAGCGCAAAGGAGAGGACCATGAGCGAAAAAAGAGCAAAAGGACTGTACTGCGTCAAAATGACAAAGTATCTTACTTTTCTGCCAAGAAAAGTGATAAATGTTCCTTGAAAAAAAGTAGGATAGCTCCCGTAATGCAGGTTAGGATCAACTGAGCAGAAAGGATAGAATACAGTTTCCGGAGGAATTCTTTTGCGCTTTAGAACCAAAGTACTCTTACCCATTCGTATGTAGATATCCGCATCTTTAACACAATTATTGTACTCAAATTCGCTTTCTAACTTTTGACCGAGCGAGAAACCCGACATTCCGTTCGAAGAGAATTCGCCAAATAAAGAACCAATAGAAATCACAACCGCTCTTCCTAATTTCTGCTTAGCCAACACACAAACCAAAAAGTTGCGAAAATTCATTTCATTTAATTTGCATGCTTTTTTGGGTATGAAGCATAATGTTTTTGATTGTTAGTAATGAAATGTTCCGGACCACTCACATGTCTATCAGGACTTGGAAGGAATTTTCAGATGATATCACATAAGCTTTTAATTTTAATTTAAATAAAATTTCTCACATAATGCCAACAAAGAGCTCGTTGAATAACCTCATTACCTTACCTGAGAGGTCGAATTGTGCCTTAATGTAGGGCTATAAGTTGCTTCATTAGGCAGAAAACTTCCGTGATGTCAAAAGGAGGATGCACTGCCTTAGCATGTGATATACATAACACATTCAGAAGGAATCAGAAGCCATCCCCTTTTATCCTAACCAGTGCATTTACATATTTGTTTACTAATTTGATGTCAACTTTTCAATCCATAACGGCAAACTGATGGGAATCGTCTCCTGTTAGACAGACAAACAGAAAGATCGACATTTGCATTGCAATTGCTTTTACAATTATTTGCCACGATTTACTAGCCGTTGAGAGATGTGCTGTAGTCTTCACGCGGCGGTGCAGCCCGAAAACTGGCATCTGCATCTAGGACGCACTTTTCTTGCCTATAAATTCTGCGCCCACACCATGACTGGAGTTCCACCTTTCAAAATGTTCACGGGCCGTGAAATTAGGGTTTCTTGTACGTTCCTCTTTCTTGTAAGAAAATATCACTTGATAACATGCTCGGTATGTCTTGCGACTTGAAGGAAGCCTCAGGAATGTGTTTGATGCCACACGCATACAACTCCAAAAAGCACATGTAAAGCAAAATAGGCCGTATGATAAACAGAACCGAAAAAGGTCTTTGACGAGGGAGATCCAGTGCTATTGCAGACCAGTATAACCCTTGCGGGAAACCATCGTTTGGTCACCCATGAACTATCTCTTACGGACTGCGGGGCTTTGCACCTCAACTCCAACAGTGCATCAGAACACGATAAAGCCATATTCAGGCCCAATTTTTGGTAGGTTACAACGTAGAAGCACATGCAATGTATCGGATACGGTGTGATGAGTGGCGCAGTAAGCGTACTAGAGGAAGAAGGCAGTTTAATACTTTGTCGATGTGACCGCCTGATGTCTGGCGATTACTTCGGAAAACGTTTGGCCCTTGTATGACGAACTGGTACTTAAATCGGGCTTAGGCTTTATTTTTATCTCTTTGCAGGATGCCGCAGCGTTCCGAGGCTTTCCATAGGGTGGAAGAAGGCATAAGTGAAGTTTAACACATGTGTTCCAAGAAAACAGGGCAAATGGGGCTTGAGCATGGCCCAAGGGTCAGACCATGTGTACAGAGACAAAGCATTGCAGATGTATATATTCGCTTTAACCTATTTCTTTGTTCTACTTGGTAAGAAGTCTTGGAATTTCGCAGTTGTCTTTAGGCTACACCCGTAACGCTTTGTTTATGTGACTATATGATATTTTTCGGTCATTTAAGAATTTTTCTGACCGTTGTATTCGTAGGCTAACCTTCGAGCCATGCTCGGACCCAAATGCTTTGTCCTCTTTGGAATACATGCATCCAGCTTCACTTACTACCTACTTTCACCTTATGGGAAGTCTCGGGACGCTACAACACCTACGCGCCATTTGAGAGGGTGAATTCTCCCTCACGGTTCCTGATATCTGTTTTTTATTTAAATAGGCGATATCTTAGGGCTAAAATGCAAATGTATAGTATAAAGGAATCATTTTGGAACGGTCTTTTGTTTTCTTTAATTAAATTTATCGTTACAATAAGGAGTGACCTTGAGATGTGATTGGATTGTTTACCAGGATGCGAGGGTTTTGAATCTGTCATTGTTCAGGCGCATGCCTTCACTCCGTCGAGTGGTTTCTTGCACGCTGCTGCGGTTTTCCTGGTAGTATGGATCTTGCAGAAGCTTTCCTGGTGCAACCACTCGTCCGGTGTGCTGCATACTGTATCGTATTCATCGCAGCCCTCTACTTATATGGCGGGGTCGATAGGTAGTTTATTAGAGTATATCGAACGACGATCTTCTTCTGACTAGTTTAGACCAGATGAATTACGTGGGTGGATTTAGTTGGTTTGATTGTTTGAGTATTTAATTTTGCTGTTTTGTGTGACTTTTTATTAGTGGTAAAGACTGAGTGGCACTGATAGATTGTGACAGTGTCTGCACAACTAGAGCACTGTGTAAAGTAGATAATTGAGCTCTCCGAAGTTTGATTATATGATATTTCTCCTACTCTGCCTATATGCTATGCTGTAGGAATGATCCACAGAGCGTGCGTCAGCGAATTATTTCTGGGTCGTTAGCTTGTGGACTTATTCTAACAGATACGTTAGTGTTTACGCGGCTTCCAAATACTAGTCCTGTAAGTTCTCTCTTGGCATTTGTCTTACAGCATTTGCCTTCCTGTCAACCTATCTTTGTTCACGACTTCTTTTATGTTCGATGAATTTCAAATTCCCATTGACATTTAGATTTTCACAGCACCTGATGCTCGATGCCTTCAGTTTTATGCAGATTTTAAAGTACACTTTAAAGTACAGTGCTGGACTGTTAATGATGGCTGCAATTAAGGCCTGCTATTTTATTTGTTAATGCTAGTGTTTATGTTACTACTTTACAACAAATCACCTATTCTTCAGTTCACCAATCTCTTCTTGAAATAGTGCTTGACATTACTGAATATTGTTGTGTTAACTGTTACTTGCACCACTCTTCGGCTCTGTCATTGCTGTTATTCAGTCGTCGGAGGATCGATTCCACTATTTATTCATTAGTTAATTTCTTTTCAACTATGATTTCCATAACATAGTAAGTGGAATGGGTATTCCCATTGTTCCATTTTTTGTGTCTACATCTGTAATACCTCATTAGGAACTGTTTTCCTTAAGAAACGCAGCTGTCAAATTTGCTACCCACTGACCCTTGAATCATCCGTTTATCTCGTGCACTTTCATTCATTCACCCTATCATTCTGTATCCATTAGCTTGTTTGTTTGTCTCAAATCCACTTACCATCAAATGGTCATTAACCCATCAACAAGTTTTTTCCTTCAAGCAGGGCCTACCTTTTGTTTCTCATTCAGTCATGCACACATGCTCTGATCTGCTATATCTGTTCCTTTTGTCACTTTTGCACAAAACATCGCTTTCATTTTAGTGGAATCTTCATTCCTATGACTTTTCACGCCTATTTCTCCGCCGCCAACACCTTGTACGTGCCCTCCTGCTCCCAATGCTATCAACTGGAGTGAGTTGACTCGCCCTTTGTCACTTATCATTACCTTCGTTTATGCTTCTTTAACCAACTTCTCTCCTGAAACCACTTCCAGCTCCTATTTCTGGCTCCTCTTTGGTACGAATGGCGTGCAAGGCGGTCATACACTCTGAAAGGTACTGTCAAATTGCGTCAGCCTGCTTAAACTTTTCATTTCTATCGCACAGCTCCCTCCAAGTTCTTGCGCAGCGCGTGGTTTACAAACAGGCTTGTGATCACTGCTGCGACCTAATGGTATTATTTCCAGGCCTCTCTTCCCTGTCCTTATTTTTTTCCATCAGTTGATTCACTTACTTAGGCGCAAAGCTTGTGTGTTTGCTACGCATTACGTCCAAGACTGTGCGCATTTACATACCGGTCTTTGCATAAACCTGGCCATAGCTTTTCACTTGCCATTCACCGCGTATGTGATGTTCTCCTTTTTTTATCGTATCTCAGCCTGATGTCACGTACTTGTGACATGCGTTCTTCTCTGGCTCATTGTAGCCGTGGTTCCATCAAACTGAATCACGTGGTTCCACTCAGATGGGTTGCTGACGGGCAAAATAATTACGACGAATATTGGTGGTCTTTTTGCTTCCAAATTATTGTTATGGTTCGCTACCATAGTTCTTTGAATCAGAACTTACCTCCATTTGAATAGAGTTTGGATCCAGAAGTTCAGTCATGCGTGAAGAGTAGCGACTGAGTGGAAGTTGTTGTAGAGCCCTGAGGCCACTCCAACGTCGAGAGGAAGCAAAATCCACACAGAATGTGTATCGCCGGTGGCTACTGGTGAGGCCCAAATTTCAGGTCGCTCGGCGGTGGTGCAATGGCGGAACCCCCAAATGACCCAGTATAATCGAGAGTTGAGCGATGTATTAATGCGGTTTAATTTGGCATTCACATAGCCATTTCCTTTCGGTTTCTCTCATTGCCTTTTATAATTCACTATTTCGTTAGCTATTAATTACTTGGTTTGGCCTGTCGAATGAATAATTGAAAACAATAAAAGAACTTCCTTATGAACGTCTTGGGGAGGTTTAAACACTGGTGTGACATCTTCTTCGAGGTTTGTTCTGTTAACAATCCTTCAATCCATCTGAGTATCTGTTAATAAGGCTTTGTTGACAGCAGCACATATGACAACACCTTGGAGGACGCGTTTTAGCACCCAAGCAGTGTCAAAAGTAAGAACGTTGTTAGAATTATCTTTTTTACCTCGGTTCTCATTCCCTGCGAAGAAATTGCCGGATCGGTAGCCACGTCAGATGGCGTCTGTTCCGTAGTCATGATCATGTTCGCCGACTGTCCCTCACCTAAGACGTTCCTTTAACCGTTTTTGTGTTACACAGCCTCCTTGGCTTTCTCGTGACCATTTTCGCAGTCATCCATGTGAGTGCACTCGGCATATTTCATCAGTTGTAATCTTTCATTAGTACGTAAGCTTCATTTTCATGTCTGACCGCATTTTGTTGTCGCCGCTCGATAATTGGTTGAGTAGGGCGGTGCGTAATGTAAGATTACTTGTTGTAAAAATGACTTTCATCCTTCGGGTTGTATCTTCTCCCCGCAGTATTGAAGGCGGCGGTGTACTCCGGCTGTCAGGGTCACCTGTTCTAAGGCCGAACGCAGTATAGCGATTGGGGATATGCTCGTTTCATGTGCACTCCTTTCTCCTCGGGAGAAGGGGAGGGAGGGAGAGATGGCATCCGACCCGCTACGAGGGTCTTATTCCCTATCATGCGACTGTACTGGTGTTTTTGTCAGAACTGCAAAACTGTAACATTCGTTCTTGCGAGTTTTCTCGAGCCCTGGGTAACTCAAGAAGGCATCTTAAAATACTTTGTTAATTGTAATTATCACAAATGAGACTTCCAACGCTATATTTTACCTTTCCAGACACTAAGACGAACTCATGGCTCTCTGCTTCTCTTTCTCAACCATCGATAATACTTGTTTGACACAAAAATGTGGTAACTACCTGGTCAGCTTGCTTTATCTTAATGCTTTCTCGAAGCTAGATTATATGTATGAGTTGCGGCGCGCCTGCAACCTCACTCGCCTACGCAACATTGTGATCGCGCCGCTTGTAGAAGAAATCATCTTCCGTGGCTGCATCCTTTTCCACCTTCAACGCCGATACGACTCTTGTGGCGCTCTTTGTCTCGGCTCTGGTCTCCTCTTCTCGATCTGTGAGTTTTAAGGAGGTGTTATTTCTTTATTGTGCTCTTTTTATGCTGTTTGCTTTTGGGGAATCTGGAGTGCCTACTGATGGTTTATAAGGAGAATTATTATTCCACCTTTAGCGCATTTTCATCATGTGGTGGAGAAGGTTTACGCTGGTCTTGCGATACGCGAGGCTCTCTTGGACGTTTGTGAGTGCCTTTAGCACCTGCTACATTGTCGCCAAAATTTATGCCACTCAAGCATCTCGCTTTGTTTATTCAAGTGGCTCAAGTGCTGATGACCGCAATGTTTGGTGTCTACTCAACTCTGCTTGTTCTAAGAAGCGGTAAGTTGTGCCTATGGAGCTAACTATGTTTTCTCCCTACCACGTTGGAGCGTAGGAGGAAAAGTTGTAATTGTGATTTCTTCATTATCCTGACAATATGGGGCCAAGATGTGTAGAACCACGGAATTCAAGAGAGTTTGTCACCCATTGGCTCATTTTTTCTCTTCGCAGGTCATCTAGCAGCGGCGGTTGGAGTGCACTCGCTGTGCAACGCTATGGGAATGCCTGACATTGCTGGTGAGATGCATTTGGCGGAGATTCGTGATCCCCAGCGAGGCAGACGCGTGTATATAGCTCTCCTCCTAATCGGTTTTTTTGGCTGGCTCCTACTCATTGGGCCGGCGTCAACCCTCTTCGGCCTTTCAGATCCGATCCGCTGTCGTCTGCCCTAGAAGCTCCTCTTTCAAACACTATATGCGTTTTTTGTATCTAATGCCTTTCCACGAATATGGCTCTTCTTTCGGTGTGATTGTTTCTTCGTTTGTAACATTTGCTTGTTGTTATGTGCGTCCTAAGCCTTTTGTCAACGCGTTTTGGCCATTAGTGTGGTTGTTTTGTGGAGTTTTTACTTGAAAAATATAAGTAGTGCGTAGGACTTCGCTAATTTTCGATGTGGTGTGCTGCTCTCCTCTTTCAGATGTCGGATCAGCCAACCTACGAATCAGTTTCAGTAAGTTAATCCAACACTAGAGTCAAGAGTTCCTTTTTTTTCTTTTGATGACAAACACCTTCGACTTTGTATAGATTCAATTTAAGGCGTTCTTGAACGCTAACAGCCATTTAGCAGCGGAGAAAGCCTTCGCAAACCTTCTCAACAACGTAAAATTCGTCGATTTTACCGCACATCTACTCCGGTGCCTTCAGACCGCCATTGTCAAGACACGCTTTGGAGAAATCAATGTTGGTTCACTCCACTTTAGTAAATACTTCCGGGACAACGTCACAATTCCCTCCTCTATCCTCCCCTTTTTATGTAGGTTCAGACATTCTTCAATCGCGTACTTCGGATTTTGCGCTCTCTCCTCCCCCTTAATATGACCGTTGAGTTCATGGGCGAGAAACCTCCGGGTAAGATTATTCACCTCAAAACGTTATCAGTGCGTTACCCTATTCATCCACATTTCCGATTTTCACAGCGAAGTCGGAGCAGGCGAAGCGCATGCGAATGTTTACTCTGCGACACACCCTAACTGACACCTGGGCCAGGTTGCTGGAGAAGGAAGTACGTTTTTGTTCTCTTATACTCGTCTATTTTTCGTCATGCAATCTCTCAACTCCTCATAAATCTGTTCTATTTCCTCTTCCAACTTACAAATTCGTTCCAAGATCGCATTCTCCGTGCTTTAGCTCCCAGACACACTGCTTCTAGAGGCGTTGATCACTCTGGGTGATGACCAAATTGAAAAGATGACAGACACTGCTCGTCTGCTCGCGCCTCACATCACTACCGTCTTCGATCCGCCCTCTAACGCGGCAACCGTTGCCGCGCCTCTTGCTTCGTGGTCTCGGGCAGTGTCGCGCACCCTCCTCAAGATCATGCACCTGGGTGGGCTTAACTTTGATCGTCTCTACCCACGCCTTTACGCCCTCCTAGGGGAAGACCTGTTAACCTGCCAGTATGCCGATCGGTTTTTGGAGGATTTAGACGTCTATCTGAGCTCCATGTAAGTCAGCAACTGACGCTGGTCCGTTTATTTGGATGCGAGAGGGTGGGATCGGGACCACTGCGAACGTATTGAGTAATGAGCATGCAACCTAAAACCAGGTCGTGAAACGACTTTGGCGTAGGTAACTAATGTGGAGGCCTTTGCCATGATCCCTTCTGCGTTTCAGCCACGTGCCAGCAGGTTGGTTGTCTGCCTTTGCAAAGCGTTTGGCCCAGCTCAGTCTAGTTGGAGTGGCACCGTTATCTCTGATGTTGCCTCTCCTAACTGTCATCGCCAACTGTCTCACTCGACATTCCGCTTGCCGAGTTCTCATCGGCCGACATGCAAATCAAAGCATCTCTGTGAGTCACAGCCTACTACTTGTTCCATTTATAGGGAGACTGTTTTGCATATTCCTTAGTGTTTCATATGGGTTTCCTAGGATAATGAATTTGTTTGCATTATTGTTGTTGAATAGGTATTCTAAAAAGCCGAGAGTAGACCTTTTTTGCTAATTTGTGCGGATTTCGAGTCGTCGATTTTATTCCTTCTTATGAGACAACGGAAACAGAGGTCGCAATAGGCGATTCCTACACCTATCGACCTAACGATCTGGCCGGTGATGGGGTGGAGGCTCTGAAAAGCAGTCTGTGGGAGGTGGTGTGCCTCGAGTGCCACTATAATCCCGAGGTGGCATCTTTGGCGCACCGAATTCGTCAAATCGGCACAATCGCCACCGGTATTGCCCACCACCTGCCCGATGTAAAGAATCAAGTTAGCTATGGCAAGGAGGTGAGTGTATTGAAGAAGTTGGTGATGTCATTCCCTCATTTGTTTATCCGTGTTGCAGCTGCAAGCCGAAGTGGATCGGAAGGCTCGACAGTACTTAACGGTGCTTGAGATGACGAATGCACGACTGCCTAGTTTGCCGCCTTTGGAGGGGTGGAAAATGCCAAGCGACCTCTCCGAGGCCTCAGCATAAACTGTCTTCCACTTTTCTTTACTTGTCTGTACAATAAAGATCTGGGTAGTTGCCCATCGTACTTACATTTTTGGGCCTGCGTCAAGGACCGGATGCTAGTAGCTAATGTTCCTCCGCTCCTAATTTTTTTCGAGGCTAGAGTGTATTAAGGTCTAGAGATGATGGGGGTGATGACGTTTAGCAAACCTTTTAGATCTCTGATGAACGGCATGCGTGGCTGTCTATTCCTGCTTCACAGGCTATCTGCGTTGGCACGCTGCCAACCTTGGTCTCTCATTGCACTTCAGCAGAGATATCTGGAGGATATCGAAATATCTAGATGTGGAGGTGTGAATGGAAAAGGCCGTGGTTTAGTGGTTCAGACGGGCCCTAAAGTAACCATCAGACTTCAGTCGGTCACATAAAAAAAGCATTACAGGAAGAAGGGTGTAAAGACGTAAATTTATGTCTCGTAATCTGGCGAATCATATGAATGACAAAGGCATTTTGCACCTTAAAGTCGTGAACAATGAAGTGATCCCTCAATTCTGATAACAATTTCGAAATTATTAGGTAAAATATGATGAATCCAGAATCATTCAATATTTAAATTCAAATTTATAAATAATTAATTCGTATTTTATTTACCATCTAACCATATTTGCACACTTATGTTTAGCAAAGCTACAGCGAATTTCGAAACAGCTTTCTTTCTAAAAAAATAATTAGTCAATGTGATTTGTTTGAGTCAACTCAACTTTCTGTCCCGCCCTAGGGGTTTACTCCCGCAACCTTTAATGAAAGAATATGTATCCGAATCAGGGGATAATGTTCGGCGATTTTTCTCTGGAGCCACAGGGCTTCAGAGACATGAATAGGCACGAAAAAAGTCTGGGGCTGCTCACTGAAAAGTTCGTCCAACTTCTTAAAGAGGCTCCCGATGGCATTTTGGACTTAAAATTAGTAAGTTCACAATGTACGAACTATACTGTTTCAGGCAGCCGACTTTCTTGCTGTTCGACAAAAAAGACGCATTTATGATATCACCAATGTCTTGGAGGGCATTGGTCTCATTGAAAAGCGCACAAAGAACAGCATTCAATGGAAGTATGTATCGCGTATGTGCCCTTTCTGAATTTAGTTTCATAACCTTTATTTTAATCACCATATTCCTCTGTCATATTCAAGAGGTGGGAGTGCAGCTACTAATGGTCCTGATATTCAAGCTCGTCTCGATGAGCTGCAAGCCGAGGTTGAATACCTAGAGAACCTTGAGAAAAAAGTTGATGAGCACCGAGCCAAAGTCCTCCAGTCCATCCGCAACGTCCAGGAAGATCTTGACAACGAGCACTTTAGCTACATAACCCACCAAGACCTTCTCAATGTCTTCCATGATCGTACTTTAGTGGTAATTCGCGCCCCAGAAGGAACAATACTTGATGCCCCCATCCCCGAAAGCGGTATGGACCAGTCCACACATTCCCTCTTTGCAATGAAACGATCCTACAAGACAAGTCCAGAGTACCAAATTCACCTAAAAAGCCCATCCACGGCTATCGAAGCCTTGCTAGTGAACCAAGATGATAGTCAAGGTAGAGCTCGAATTATACCACCTGGACAACCAAACTTTGATTCGCGAAGGCCAACCGCCAATCGGCAAGGTAAGCCTATTAGTAGCTCCAATGTTTTTCATTCACTTTTTAACCTCTAGAAGATGTTAGCGTTCCCAATCCCTTATTTCCGCTCAGTCCTCCGCCAGATGCCCAGGATTTTACCTGCAATCTGGAAGAGAACGAGACAATTTCAGACCTCTTTGATGTACCAGTTCCATATAAGCTTGAGTAAACGTAACGCAGAAGCTTGTACTAACAAACGTTGTATGGCGAACGTCGGGGGGAGGGGGGGAGGGTGCTAGTAAGTAAGCGGGGGTTGCTGAGTTGGGAGAAGGTTAAACCTCCTCTTCAGGATGATGCGCTGCTCGGAGTACTTATCATCAGGGGAATACCGAGCCGGATGAGCAGATTGGGTTGGCCTTCCGTCAGGATCGACGTACTACAAAAGCGATAAAGGCGAAGTTCTAATTTGTTCTAACGCTGAATGCTGATACTTCGCATTGACATCGGCATCGATCAACAGCAACAATAGAGTAAGGCGGACCAGACTTGTTAAAAGGCTAATGACGGCAACAATTAAGACAGAATTGGTTCCTTTAAATGCAGACAAGGGATCAAGGGTGAGCGATGTTCACCAGACTATGGATCTGATTTGTAATGTGAGTTAGGCTGCGATGCGCTTACTAAACACAATGTCTCGTGTGGCGAATGCACATGGAAGTCAGGAATAATTTGCGATCAGGGTGTCCTTTGAGAATGCAGTTCAAGTCTGAACTAAGGTGTGTAGCCTGCTACTCAGACCTAATGACTAATGAAGTGATTAACCAAAGGAAGGTTACACCGACCTATTAAATAGCTAAAGGGTGGAAACAGAACGTCAAGGAAAACTTAATGAGTTGTCAAACACATAGAGCTTAATTGCGAGGCAATAAGAAATCCCAGGAGCTACCAGCAAAATAAAGAGAAAAAGTGTAGTCTCCTAGTAACACAAGTATCTGAAAAACTCTGAACGTGATATGCCATGTAAAACAGTCGCAAGAAAATTTAAGTCACAAGGTGGCCTAACCACGTTACTTCTGACGCCGTCAAAACACGTTTGCATAAAAACCGAACACAAACCTTCATTGTGTATACACGATGGCCATCGGCATCAAGATAACAGCGAAGTCGCATCCTGAGAACCTTAAATTAGTGGTGCAGATTCAAACCTGGGTAACTACTGCTGACAACTTAAACAAAATTTGAATTAATGGGGGCATAAGGTAACCTAATTTTCCAACACTTCACACGTTGTATTTTATCAACTTATCCATGAAATTTATTTTAATGTAAGTCCATGCTATCTATAACAGTTATTCTAAACAACGATGCCATGTCTTGCCTTGCACATGCCGTTGCAATTGAGAGTCGAACGTCTAACCTTCCCATTTAGCTACACAACGCCACATCTAAGACGTTGTTTATGTGACTACCTTATGTCTGGCAGTTGCTGTGGGATCCGTCTGGCTCCTGTAAGCATAAGGTGACCTACGATCTAAGCTCCGGTTTTCCTTCTAGCCTCTCCTCAGAATGCATGTCTTCAGCCAAAATTAATACCTTTTTCTACTTGGCAAGCAATTTCGGAACGTTACAGGGTCTGCTAAGGTTTTGGATGAGCAGTGAAAATTTGTGCCATAATAGGTCTACCTAATGCTTACATTGAGGAAATAATTCAAATTTGTTAATGATTTTTCAAACGCCTTCAGTTATAATATGTGAAAGGATTTTAAAAGATCATAGTAGTTTTAGCACATTGAGACTTCCCATTAGAGGGAAGGCATTAAATTGGGCGGAATGCATGAATCTAAAGCTGAAAAGGAGGCATAGGGTCTTGGCTTGACCTAAAGGCCAGCCTACGCGTACAAGGACCAGACAAACTCCGAAGTGACCGCCAGACACATAACCACATAACCACATAACCAAAGTATTACACTTCTAGGAACTGCCTGCCTACCCTCCTGTCCTTGAACCTCGGACTTCAGGAAAGGGTTGGTTACAGGTGATTTATATGGCAATTGTTATAGGAAGAATGGGGATTGGGATGAGGATGAGGCCAATAGGAGATATCAACTGGAGAGAACTCCTCACCATCCTTGCGCACGTGACTCGCGTTCCCAACTGGAACCTGCCTCTCTCCTATGGAAGTCTACTTAAACAATCTAGTATATATTACAACACTGTCCATCTCTTCTTTTGAGCGACGTTCTCGACATTACTCTTAGTACATGTTCCGCATCACCCGACATAACATATTCGGTACTGCAAATAAGCGCCCACAAGTCGGCCGCGTCAGCCATCAACTGTCATGAGAAAAAGAAACGTACTTGGTTCCCTCAACAACTTTAAATGAACCTAGAGTTGCGTTCGGTCTGACAGCCGGATTTGGGGCTGCATACATCTATTGACCATCAAATGCTTCCCGGTCTAGACTGTGTAGCAGCTCTGATCTAAAAATAAGATGTTTAACAAGGAAGGTGTGACCAGACACAGAACTACATATAAGGAGATCTGAAGTGTCATTTTTTAAATCTATGCATGTATGCAGCAGGAGAACTTGCCATATGAAACTTTTCCAGGTAGTTCACTGTGGTGCCGCTTCAGTTGTTGGTAGTGTGTCTGTGGAAGCCGAGGAGAACGTGAAGCCAAACACAGACAACATTCAAACTGATCGTTGTGAAGAATTTTAAGAGATTTTTAGACCCCAGATGTAAGTGTAATCTCCAGTAAACAGTTCATGCTAGAATAGAAGTCGGTTCCAAAGAAGTCGGATGCGCTTTGTGCTGCCACCGGTGTAGGGTCCCAAGACGTTCCACCAAGTAGAATGTGGAATGCATATGTTCTCTCATGACAAGTCTTTTAAGGATAGCTTTCTTGGGGTCGCTATATCGGGTGCAGTAGTGTCGTCAGAGCGATGGTTGAGCTCTACTTTTGATCCAAAATTTTATTCATTCTGTGAAAAACGAGTTTGCTCAGAAAGCTCGTCCCTGGCATGCAATGTAGACTTTACCAACTCACATGCCCTCTTGCTGGCATGGTCAGAAGAGAGGTCTACCGGATCCAGACAGCATGGCCAGCCAACTGCCTTGTTTATTCGACCTCGACACTAAATTCTGCCCCTTTCCTTCCTTTTGCTCTTGCCTTTTCCATTGAATACAAGTAGTTATTCATGTCTGATGCCTTCCACAACCTATTTGGAAGTCTCTGGACTTTACGAAACTATCCGAGTATCGAACTTGTTTTCCGCTAAAGTTCTAAATTTGAACGCTTCTATCGTCCTAAAATTTGGAGTAAAATAAGGCGGTTGCAACGCTCTGTTTGTGTGACCTCCTGATGTCTAGTGGTGGCTTTGAGATTCTTCTCGTTCTTGCGCATGTGCGCTGGTCTTCGGACCACACCAAGGCCTAATCCCGTCTCCTGCCTAAAATACATGTATTTAGTCCAACTTAATGCCTTCTTCTACCCGGTGCGAAGTCTCGGGGCGCTACAACGTTAAGTGGTAGAGGAGAAATATACGAACTTTGACGTAGAGTTGGAATTTGGCGAAAGCCCATTTGTTGACCAGCCATTCAGCACTATATGGCGCTGTTCATCTATTCATTCGCTGCATCTTTGTTCTGTTATCTACGGTTCAAATATAAATAATCCATCTATCTACCCTTCATATTGTTACCCCAAGTACGAATGAAAGTCACAAATCATAAAATTGTATTTACACTTAGTTGATTCTCCGGTCACCAGGAAAGTTAGTCAGGCAAGCTGACACAGGTACAAATTATCACTTGCCAAATGGGAAGAACGGGATGAGGGTACTTCACCAACTTTAGATAGACTCCTGATTTAATGTTCGAGGTTCTACAAGACTAAAGGCTGTCTCATCCTCGAGATGCCAGACACGACAGCGATCAAAGTGCCAGAGGACCAGCAAGGAGAGGATTGCGACAATACAGCAGAGAGAGGGTAGGAAAATTCCATAGGTCACGCTGGATGCACGATGATATTTGTGCATGAGAGCCTCGTTACCGTGTACAGCGAAGGCCACGAAACAACGGAATACAGGCTGCTTTGTGAGACGCCAGCGAAACACATTGATGGCGAAAGTGTTCTCCTCCAATCGTTTATTACAGAAATGCGTCACACACTAAAGCATCGAAATAAATGATCAAATTATAGTTGTCATATTTATAAAAAGAACATTTATTGGCGCTGCTGAATTATATCTTTATTTCTACCTACTATTTAATTTTCGTATTACAGAACAGCTCTATGTAAATATTTTCGTTTCAAATGTTTTCAAATCGTAACTTTTGTGAGTAATTTTTTTTTGCCTTTCATCATAATCATGCCCTCACCTTGGACCTGTCAACAATCGAAAACGATTATGCTACGTATCTTGTTTATTCATCAGCCAGTTGCTAAACTTTGTTCTCACCTTCCAAACCATCTTATTACTGCCCTAAGGAATCCCACGACTAGGAATCAAAGGCAAGAATAAACAAATAATAAGTCTCCTCTAATCACAGCCTTAACATAAAATTATGCCGAAGTCTTACCTCATTACAGCAATAATTGTAATGCTTTGGTTTTGTGACTACCTGGTGTTTGACGGTCACTTTAGGATCTGTCTGGCCCTTGTACTGGTGGGCTGACCTTTGGACTAGCTCAGGCTCATTTGCTCCGTTCTATTCGGAATACATGCATCCAGCCTCACTTACCGCCTTCTTCCACCCCGTGGGTAGTCTCGGGACACTACAGTGATGTTCTGTTAAACGCCATGTTTGCCCTATAATCGCATAGCTCTGCCTAAGGTAATGCTGGCCGAAATGTGCAAGTGTGCAAATGCGCCCTATAATTTTATTTATTAAGAGTGGATACATCACAGAAGAACCTATACGTTCCCTTAAACTTACATTCTTACCCATAAAAGGGTGAGGCAACATCGAGACCATTAAAGAGTCACAAAAATATTTTATTGATCTCCTTCTCATAGTGCAATATATTATCTTCTCACAGCTATTTCATGCGAACACTCTGGTCCCTTTTAACCTAAGTCTCGCTTTGTATGTGTGTCTGACTGCATGAAGCTTTCAAGTAACCTTTATTATTGCGAAGCGGAGAAAATTTTTGAAACCCAGTGCTCATAAATTTAAGGCTATTCAACCAAGGGCAGTAAAATGTATTAAGAAGAAATCGTGACAAAATGAACTAAATAAAGCCCCTAGAATTGAAGATGTTTTGGTTTGGCAATGATTGGCTTTTGCAAATTTAACGAATTTTTACCTATTTTGACCAACACTAATTGTTTAGCTGGATCGAGTGCGTCATTCGACCTTTAGCGACAATTCGAAAAGGTAATCAACGATGAAGTGACGTACTCTCTACCACAGTCGAGCAAAATATGAGCCTAGTATTTTTGGACATTTGAAAAAGTGTTAGACTTCTGAAGATTGTATGATAGAGATGATTAATATGCGACAAATATGTTGGAAATAACTTCAATTAATTTGCCATATTCTTCGTAAACCTTAGGCAAATTTGGGTTCTTATTTGTGTCCATGTAAGTTGGATGCACTGCACCGCATCGCACACGTGGGAAGAAAAGACGCAATTGAAATCACTATGACTATTTAAATGTCTTTAGCGGAACCGCTTCTTTCAAAATATCGAATAATTGTTTCAAGGTCTTTTACTTGATCCACAAATCGTGTCTCCATTAAGTCCACTAATCTGGCACTCTGTATCTGAACTTCGGCTTTCCAGCTGCGCTGCCCACTACTATTATTCTCTCAATAGAATGACTCGAATCCTATCGCGTTGATGACTCTTGGGAAGTGGAATCAATTTGTATCCAGAATGCCACTAGTATCACAAGCAAACGAAGTGCTGCGCTCACTGGACATATCATTGAGGACATTTTCTTCATCCTATTTCAAGTCACGTACGTTGACGCACTAACTCACTTAATGGAACTACAAGCAAGACAAAACGACTTAATTTTCCAATAGCAAAAGGAACTATGGGGTCCGTTGCGGAAATAACTTATTAAAGTTACAATAATAGGAGCTGGATGCACAAATCACCCATCCACCCTTAAAAAATAAGCAATTTCTCACTTCAACAAAACTTCGATATGATGTAGTGCGTACCTCACAGCTGAAATCCTAATTCTTGCACCCTGTAAGGTAGCTTCCTTTCATAAGTTCATTAGTAAGGATTGGAATTTCACATTTCACTCCCTTAAAATCAAACTACAACCGATATAGGCAGTTCCGTTCTCTATGAGTGGTGAGTGTGTAGAATTAAGCTTTGTTGGATAAGGATGCATCTAAAGAAGTAAACCTTACCCTAGCTACCCTAAAGATTAGCGCTGACATCGACGGAAATAATATGTTTGGGTTACAACTCGAGAACGTAAGTCATGATAGCTATTAATGGAAGGAGATCTTACCCCGTATCGCCGATAGTGTTCATGGGTCTCAATTGTGTCAAACAGAGTGGCTGAGAAGTTAGTGTTATTGCGTTGAAAAATGACCGACACTTGTAGACAAGGGAAGAAGGACCGTTCTCGGGAGCACCGATTTTCACACTTGAGAATGGGCATATCGGACTCAATCTTAGCTATGTTACATGTGCTTTCCTCAAAGCCATGCTCATGGAGGTAGGGAATCACCACTAGGTAAAGAATAATAATGCCGGTAAGGAGAGAGCAGGTGAATAAGGTGGTGCAGAAGATGTATGCTGCTCTGCGAAAGGTAGAGTTTCCATGGGCTTGGATCAGGCGGCGGATGGGAAGCGACATGAAACCAAAATGGCGTTCTTTGGTCCTCACTAGGACGGCCCAAGGAAATACTTACTTCCGGCTTAAAGAAGGGAGGAAGTGACTGGGAGAGAGCGGAGCAGCTGCTGTTACATCGCTTTATACGGTAATTGCAAAATTAACTGTGCTCTATAAAAACTTTAGAAATGTAAATCGTACTTGCTCTTCCAAAAAAATTTCGTTTGTTCCTATTCTTCAAAAAGCATTTCTTAAGGCGCTTTTTAGTTACACTTCCAATCCCTTTCCTTGTAGGAAGAAGGTTTACGCAATCTGATGAGCTACAGACCAAAAAATGACTAATATTGAGCGAAAAAATTAGAATTTTACGACATGCCAACATTGCAGACTCGAACAGCGGCACCAGCCCATACTTTTACAGCAACGCAATCAAAGTGAATTTAAGGTCATGAAATAGATGTCAAACACTGAGTTTTGAGGAATTGGACTTGACAAACAGTGCATAATATTGCTTTGTGCAAACATATTCAACGGCGTTGTTTTCACCTTAACTAAAGTTTGGCCCTTGTAATCTAAGCCATCCTCTCACTTTTGAGAGCACCTAAACCATGTATATAGTGGTTTCGGCTTGATTTTCCGGCGGGTTACCTCCTCGATGATTCGCATCGCTGATATTTTCATTGTCAAAGCATTATTACCACCTCACTCATTTAGAGAACTTCAGAAATTCCGAACGAGACATACTACTTAAATAATGTAATCAACCGAGTGATAGTCTGAAAGGACATCGCTTCGCATGATCGATTCGTCATCATGCAAGAATGTCATCTCCGTTCAGTTTCGACCCAAAAAAGTGATTAAAGTATGTTAAAAGATTGCCTTTTCCTTCCTTTTTTTACCGCAACGTGGCTGATATTACAAAGCGATAAAAAGAACACAGAGTTTATGCAGCTAGAGAGGCGTGAATTCCTACAGGATGGCTCAATAGACCAAAGAATGAGGATGTCGAGCCACCTTCTAGATGTATGCATGTCTACAATTGACTCTGAAATTCCGATTTCTTCAATTTATCACAATTAAACTACTGTTGAAGGAATTTAAGCGTAGACCATTTTCCTTCCCCTTTACAGCCCAAAGTGGGCTCAAGGGATGATGAAACCCTCGATCTTTGAAATATTTGCAAACTGAACAGTTTTCAGTTTTTTCTGAGGGCGGTGTACTGTGAGGACGAATACGCGACCTTCTTCCCTCACTCCTTCTCCATTCAGTGCCTTTTAAAAGGCCGCAACTTTATCACTTTAAAAGGGACACCAGAAGATGGCTTCATTTCAGGCAAATTTTAAATGAGGGAAAACAATCTTGGGTCTTAGCCCCAGGACAAAGTGACGAGTAGGCGTTAGCATAGCATAGAAGAGGTGCCTTTCCGTTTACGTAAACGAAGTCGATACATAAACAAATGATCAAACCACGCCACCAACCCTTTTCCTTTGGAGTGTCGTTTGCATCCCTCCCCTTGATGTTTGCCTCCTGCATTGATCTTCAAAACACAGCTGTATCTGCCGGCAAGCCATTGATCACGAATCGGTTGCACCAGTCGTCCAAAGGGTGTGAAAGAAGGAAGTCACTGACTCACCATGAGAACGTCTATAAAATCGGAGTTTCCCCAAGCATGTGAACAGCATTGGGATAGAAGGAAGAAGGAGGATACTGGTCGAAAGGATACGGTTAATTCGTCCTTCAATATTGCATGGCTAGTTCAAACCTAGGCTCGACATAGGCGGCCCCGTATACGAAGTAGAGGAACGAAGTGAAGTTGATATCCTCATCCGACCATAGCGATCAGTTCCGTACGAGACTTTAATTGACAGAAAAACCAAAAAGTTAAGCCAATCAAGGCTAAAGCATGTTGACAATCCGAAAATTGACTTTTATCCGGCTAAAGCTTCTGTGAACAAATCGATTTCGACACATTGAGTGACCCTCGCTTGTACAGAATGTCGAATGCTTCTCACTATGAGAAACCATTTAATTGCTGCCATCATTTCTCTCCGTCTGTTACGCTCACCATGCATAAAATACTTCCGGTTCAAATGGTTAAAAGTTCACCTAATCAAGAAAGTGACAAAATAAGTAGTTCCCCGATAACCCAGCGAGTTATGTAGATGAGTTCATCCACGAGACCACTTCCGAATCATTCAAGCTCTCGTGTTCTCGTGCCTTCTATTTCAACCAAACGAGATCATGCGCAGAAGTATACCAAAGGCTCACCAATCTCTTACGCTTCCATCCAAAAATGCTGGAGGAAATGGAAAATTAAGTGGCAGCTAATGAGACTTGTTACTACATGGCATATCTACGAAACTCCCCCAGATCTTTTCCACCTCTCCCCTTCCAACTGTTATGGTCGGACAAGTGCTATGAACATCATTTGCCTAATGCCTTTGCTTTGAGTTGATCTTGGATGACGGCCACCACTGAAATCATCAGAGCTTCATCACAAAAGGGTCACCTCCCAAACGCGATGCACCCATATTTGAGCAGTACGAAGGGAAAGTCAGCTCTATAAATCACCACCCCCGCATAGCACGTACCCAATATTCGTGGCAGTTTTAGGTCAATTTAAACACTGCTTACAAAGATCAAATACTCAAGTGGCACCTGCCATCGTTAAACAACATCTTGAAGAGTGACACCGCAGAATAACGGAACTAGATCCATTTCAACTAATACGTGCATTTCAACAATGCCCAGAATATGGCAATACACAAAGTCGAACTGGTCTAAGAGCACTCATGTTTAAGGTCTCGTGTTTCGTTCTCGAAGAGAGCACTAGAGGAGATGCGATGCTTCCGTAAAAGTAAAAACGTTTCAGGCATTTATATATGAAAATTTCAGTAACAACTAGGAGAACATTTACCAACTTCATAGTTGCATAAACAAATGGAGAGATTAACTTACAAATTCGTTGTGATAAAAAGATGCAGATACGCTGAGGTTTACGTCAAACCGAGACTTGCAAATTTAGCACCTTGTGTGCAGATGGGCTAAAGGCGATAGGATTATCGTCCTAACTCAGTCCATTACTGGTTCCTCTTAAGACGGCTATTGAATCACACAATAGAAAACATCTAATCTACGAGGAATTTGATGTTTAGATTCCCAAATTATCAAATACTTTAATGGAAAGCATTTTCGCCTAATAGTATTACACAAGATTTGAAACTGTGAAGACCAGTTAAAGCAAAAATTGCATGCAAATTAGTCAAATTTCCATTGCTTGCAGGAGCAGTTAATTTGCATACCGCAGAGCCGCAACCCTTGCATCAAAAAAATATCCTGAAAAGTTTTACTCAATTTGTATGCATTGTTCTGAATGTGGTGAAGTGGGGTTCATCAAATAGATAGGTGTCTTCTCAACTTTTTGTTGAATGGGAAGCGCGCGGTGATCTTAAAATGTCCCGTGACTTGACTTGTCAATTATTAACAAGAGGAAAGGACAAAAATTGAAACAGCTTAAGTAAGTAACTAAGTGAGCTGTATTAAGCAATGCAAAATCTTAACATTTGGTGTTCTACTTTTATGCGCAAATTTTGAGCTCTGCAAACCCTACCAGGTCTACTGAATTCTAAATAAGTAGCCTGTAAAACGTTAGTTTTTCACCTTTGAAACGATCCCGAAGTTAAGCCTAAAACTGAGGTCCTTGGCGGTCAATTAGGATGGGTTGTGACTGCAAAGAAGTAAAATGTGGAGACTCCTGTGTTTGTAGCGAAGGTAAGCTTTGAACAAAATTACGTCCACTTAGGCCAATCAGGATTCAGCACACGACTTACCCGTCAAGATTAATTTGTTCTACTAAAATTATTTGTTGTGGTCACGAAGTTTTCACCACCCAAAAATGTATCTACATTTCGCATCACATCATTTCGCAAGCCTCCACCAAATGCGGCGCCACGGTAAAGCTTATGGGCAGAACCTAAGGCGCAGCTTAATGGACTTTTCGTCTTCAAGCTCTCTCCTTCGCTGCACACCACTTTGTAGCAACTTAAAGACTTGATCTTCAACCCATTAACAACAAAGCTACACAGTTGAAAATTCATCGCACAACGTTCGCCAAGGGCAGGACGATAGCATAAGTCTCGGTTTGGTGGTATTTTTTTCACTGTATGCAACTATTTTACGGCACGGGTCTAAAATTTCTGCAAATGTTTAACCCTTAAGTGTACCACCAGCGAATCTTTCGCAGAAGAGTGGCCTATGGAGGCTGCAGTGGGCTATTGGCCACATTTGTAGCAGATGGCATCTAGCGATTAGCACTTTAAAACAGTGAGGTAAATACCTGCTTTCCCTGCCTGGCCGTGTCTATAAATAACGACCTCCAAATCTCCCCTTGAGATTGTTAAGGAAAAAGAGTTGAACACGTCCTCACACAAGAAGTCTGCCTATTGAGGTGAGTGCTTGTTAAAAGGCGAATTTCATCTTTTTTACTTTTAAGGAGTTAAGTTGTTGAGAAAAAATGTCCCTGTTTTGCTACCCTCGTCGTCGTTCCCTTTGGTCGATGGGAAAAGTCATGGCACCCAGAAGTAACTTTACTTGAAATACCATTTAAGTAATGAAAACTGTTCCTTTCCGGTAAGTGTTATCACTAATACCAGTAGGTAAGCATTATGCATCCTCAAATATGTACTTCCATATATTTTAGCTTGCACATTTAATACAAATAGGCAATTTAAGTAGTATATATGACAGAGACGCAATTATGTGGAACATAATACAATGTACTTTACTGCACCTATATGACGATAAAATAGTACGCAATGCATTTATTTCCCCTGCACTGCTGGAGGCAGAAATGGGATTACCATTAACTATGTCCACCATGACTTGTCCTTCAATGCTTACTGACCGTGCCATAAATACCGAAGCTGCTTCCTGTTTTTAAACATCCGCCATTGTTTGCGTGGTCAGGGAAACAAAATAGTAGATTTAAAAAGGAAAGAAAAGAGGAAAATGGGATTTAGACAAAGGTGAAAAAGGCTTATCCTTACTTCTGTGTCATCATTTGGCGTGGTAGGCCGTCATTTTACTGTCGCAATAGTGCGCAATGTATAGTTGACAGGCAAGAAGTAATTGTTATCAAAATTGCGGCCAAATGATTTTCGCAGAGCCATAATACGCAGCACGACTGCGAACGGAGAGTGGCACCCATAAGTCAGTTGAGTTTGCATGGATGTCTTGATGACTGTAGCGTGCCGAAAAGCGTTGAGTGGAGGTGAATAGATGCATTTTAGGGAGAGAAAATGGATCAAATCTGAGCGTGGTCTGAAGTTCAGCTTACGAGTACAAGGGCCAGGCGAATACCTAAGCAACCACCAGACATCAGGTGGCCGCATGAACAAAGCATTACAGTGACTTTGAACCGAAATCCGAGCGCAAATGAGAAGGAAGAAAAGGGTAGGCTAAAAGCAAATAGCAAATAGAACCTTTAAGTTTCTGCATTCTGTATACTGACTTTAGTAAATTCCTGATTTGCAGTTTGAAAGAAACCTTATGGCTAAGCATATTCACCGATATGTGCATTTGTGAATGAACAAAGGTGGAGCTGTCTACTATGAACTGTTCACTTTCTGATCATCAAACAATTACGAATGCAATCGACCTGCTTTGTACAAGGGGATGCACTCCTTAATTGTGACCATAGGACCACTCGTTCATTAATACAAACATGAAATGTGAAACCGTGTTACTAAAGTAAGACTGCACTGCCCTTCTCGTTAGCGTATTATAAAGCCTGACTACTTGAGAGCAACCTTCTCTAAAGGAGGACAAAGAAAGAAGCTGCTAGCACCAAAAAAAGCCATTACAAATCTATTACAACTTCTATTCGAGAACAAATTAGCACTAATACAGTTAAAAATTTAAACTGGCAAGCTCGTCGTCGCCTTCGTAGCTCAGGGGTTAGAGCACTGGTCTCGTAAACCAGGGGTCGAGAGTTCGATTCTCTCCGAAGGCACGCGTCTGTTCCTTAGCCTCCAGTTTTACCCATTTGCTTGTCGCCTCTTCTCCACTCAGTTCCTGTCAGTCTTTCGTACTGTAACTGTTGTGTCTCTGGATCTCCGTTTTCTACAAAATTATTTTTGAAAGAACTGTTCGGCAAACTCACGTCCTCATCGTCTTGCCAACGACGACACCAGCAATGCTACTATTGCCTATAATCGTCTCCCAGTTGCTGAACCCGTACCTGCGAGTGATAGCAACTTCGGCAATGCGGATTATGTAGCTGGGTCATAGTAGTGCTGGTAATGGGAATGAAAATATCTTTCCGTTGCGATGTGTTCCTGGCAGACCCAGCGATGAGGAGGAAGCAAAGAGGAAAGTGAATATGATGTGAGGGTTGACGGGTTACCGAAGGAGGAGGTGTGTGAACAGTAAATCCAACTTGCGGGGAATTCACAATAGCACTAGCACTAGACCGCACGATTTATGCCGCTAACTGACATCCTCGCGTCCCCACATCTCCTCGCCTCCCTCAAGGCGTGACTTGAAGGGGCGCAGTGGTGTGCAATGAACTGCTTCAGCCTCTGCCAACGCATCGAGACGCCACCTGCACCACTGGCGCTTCATCAGACTTGATTTGGCGCACACTTTCTGCCCACTTGCCCTCTCGCACTCGTGTGTCTGCTGAGTGAGAATGAGAAAGAGCTTCAGCCTTCCATACAATTCCACTCCTTTGTCACACCTCCCAATCGCGTTGTACGATTCCACGAAAGAACTCAACAAATTCACCGCCACTGCCTCGCCTCTCCCCACGACGAATTCCGACCTAAGGAAAGCCATTGGCAAGGTGCTTCATGACAACGTAAATTGGTGAGGCGGTGGTGCAACACTCTTGAAGCACAACTGCACACCTCCACACCCCACTGAACAGTGTGGAGGGCAACAGTCTCGCATTCCTCTGAATCACCAAAGTCCTTTCACGCAGTCACAATGGTGCTCCGTTCGTATGGAGGAGGATTGGCAACACTCGCACTCAAGTAATCACCATTTTAGCCTCGCATGTGGTCTGCAATGCAGTGGACATGGAGTGGCTTCCTTCCTCGAGGTGCAGCAATTTTGTCAACAGTAGGAGGAGTGACGTCCGAAGCCTTCATCACAGATGTCCACAGTGTTGCCACTGTCGCCTCAGCATGCCTC